AGTCGCACCCAGGCCTTTGGCCTCCTCTCCTTTTAGCCCGTGTGATGGGTTCTTTTTTAAAGCTATCAGTTACCCCATGCTGGCTGTCGTGTGCTGCTATGCCGTCTTGTACAGTTGAGCTGTTTTGTGTCTGTGGGGAAAGAGACGTGGTGCCCAGGGCTGCCCTTGACACAGAGTTATGGCTCATTGTCCAGAATCTGCTCCAAAGGCCTGGCTTGGGGCAGCGTTGCGGGTGGGTGAAGAAGAGTGGCCCCCAGCTAGCTTCCTAGCTCTGAGCAAAGGTCCTTGACACATGTGAGGGCTGAAGAGCAGCCCCCGGGCTGAGTGTCCAACAGTTAGGGCCATGTGTTGTGTTGTGTCCTCTGTCACCGATCTGCCAGCCTCTGCTTGCTTACCTTGGGTAGTTCCAGTATAAACGTTTGGGGTTTTTCCAAATAGAAGTGGAGAAGTATCGTGGGGATAGTGGGTTCCTTGCAATGGGGTGTTTCCAGTCTTTCCCCAGAGATGCAGAGTAGACTTCTCTGGCCAACTAAGACATCGAGTTGTGCTCCCAGAGCTCCAGGGTTTGTGGTTTGGAAGGAGGCTGATGGTTACCGGAACCAGTATTCTGTGCCAACTGTGTGGAAGGATATCAGCTCATTGACAAAATCATGGAAATCCAGGTCCTTCATCCATTCACCAGATAGTTATGGGCTGCCTCTATTTGTTAGGTGCTGTTCTACGCACTGGGGCAAAAGGAAACTATTTTTTAAAGTCCTCTTGTTCTTATGGAGCTCACATGTTTGGGATTATGACAGAATGTACAGACAGGAATCGAATACAAATGATCCATCGTGTGCCATAAAGAAAAATAAAGCAGAGTGAAGGGGGATAAAGAGGGACCTCTGGGGACAGGGAGAGGTATGGCTTCGCTTATGGCAGCCAGAGTCTCTCTGTCTCTGAAAACACACCTTAGTGAGGGGCGGGTGAGCCATGAGCATTTCTAGGAAACAGATAACAAGTGTAAATAGCAGTTGCAATGGGTGGGAATAGGCTGGGTGGGTTTGAGGACCAACCAGCCATTGGGCTGAAGCAGAGTGAAGGACAGAGGACTCAGGACACAACAGTGGGCAGATGATGAG